GTGCTGGCCCCCCACCATTTGTGAGCATAGGAGACCTCTTGTATCTGCAACCCAAACGCTAAGAAAGTGCTCACAACTCAAATGACATCTGCCACACTGGGTGGTGAGAAATCTTTTCTCAGGGGTGACCTTGAAAGATCTGCAGTGCTTTATGGATCATCATAGACATAGTCTGCTGTGACCACAGTCAATATAATATAATATCTGACCACAGTCAATATTTGTGTAAAACTTTTGTGGTTTTGGATTAAAAAAAAAAAAGAACAGCAGAGTACTATTTTCAAACAATTATATGCGAAACTCCAAGCTGCTGTGGCTGAAACAGGAAAGGGTTCCTTGAGCCCCCTGAGAGAGCTCAGATTCTGAGAACATTTTTGTTTTGTTTTGTTTGGGGAGGGACGTGTCTGTTTCCCTTGATCTCAATCATTTTCCAGGTCTGGTCTGGATTTGAGCCTTGCTGATCACCCTGAGAGTTTACCTATGTTGCTCCAATAAATTCAGTTAGTATTTTACTTAGGATACAAGCTAAGCTGCTGTAACAAAGAAACCAAAAAAAAAAAAAAAAAGAGTTTCTATCAAGTTGATTCAGATTCTGGCGACCCCATGTGTTGCAGAGTGGAACTGCTCCATAGGGTTTTCTTGGCTGTGATCTTTTAGGAAGCAGATCTTAAAGACTTCCTTCCATGGGGCTGCTGGGTGGGTTTGAACTGCCAACCTTTAGGTTAGCAGTCGAGCACAAATTGTTTGCGCCACCCAGGGATCTTACTGTAACAAAGACCCCCCCTAAATTACATACATGTTTATTTCTCTCTCATTTCTCAGTATCATGTATCAGGTAGACTGGCTGGTGGTCAGGGCTGGAAGGCAGCTCTACTCCCTGAGGCCATAAAGGAACCCAGATTCCTTCTACCTTGGAACATGGTGTTTTTTTTTTTTTAATCCACTGGGCTATAATGTACTAGAATACTCCAAAACCCCGAGAATGCTGAGAAGGTCTAAAAAGCCATCCAGGATAAACTTCTCTCTATGTGCCATGAAAAGAATACAAGGTTGGGAGTCAGAGATGACTTGGCAACAGTGTGACTTTGTGCAAGTTAAGGGCTTTCCCATATCTCGGCCTCAGCTGCCTCCTCTGTGAAATGAGGGGCTGGATGGATATGGAGCAAAGACAAGCTGTACACGTGACACCAATGCAGCTGCCTCGAGGCCCCACAGAGCCCAAATGTGTGTCTTGGGTCAAACTTTCCTTGAGTGGTTCACTCCCTACTATATCTATTTTTGTAAGAAGAAAAAAAAAAGCCATGATCCCTACCACAGCCCTTCAGCATCTTCCTCTTTACCAGAAACAAAAAGCAAGATCCCAATGAAAGACAGAAGCCCATGGGGAGTAGTAAGAATGTGAGAGCTCCCCCAGTGGGGCCCCAGGCATAGGTAAGGGTGGTTACTGATCCACAGGATCAGGCCTGCAAATCCTTCTAGTAGCAAAATAACAAAGGAACTCAGCTAAGGCCTTACCTTGACTAAGGGACCTATTTAAAAAAAAAAAAAAAGATTATCAAACACAACTACAAATGCATGAACAAAAGACAAATTAGATAACCAGGACTGCCCAAAAATTAAATACTTATGCTCATCAAAAGACTTTATCAAAAGAATAAAAAGACAACCTACAGACTGGGAAAAAATCTTTGGGAAGGACATATCTGATAAGGGTCTAATCTCTAAAATATAGAGAAAACGTCAACAACTCAACAACAAAAAGACAAACAATACAATTAAACAATGGGCAAAGGACATGAACCAACACTTCACCAAAGAGGACATTTAAGCAGCCAACAAACACATGAGAAGATGCTCGTGATCATTAGCCATGAGAGAGATGCAAATAAACCCTTACCTTAAAAAAAAGTCTCTACAAGTAACACAAAAGTTTACTTTCCGTAATATATAAAGAGGGTTTATGGATCAATATGAAAAATCTCAAACACTACAATTGAAAAAGTCTAGGATAATTTACAAGAATTAGTAGAAATTACCAACATGAATTTGAAGAAAGTCTAACTCAGAAATCAAAGAAAGGAAATTAAAATAAAAAAGACCACCTATGAAGTATTCTTGCCCCCAAAATAAAATCTAACTGGCATCAGATAGGGGTCTGGTGGCGAAGTGGTTACGAGCTACGGCATGCTATGGCTGCTAACCAAAAGGTTGGTGGTTCAAATCCACCAGCAACTCCTTGGAAACCCTATGGGGTAGTTCTACTCTGTCCGATAGGGTCACTATGAGTCCAAATCAACTCGATGGCAGTGGGTTTTGGTTTGGGCATCAGATATAGCTTATAGCTCTAACTACCAGGGAAATACTTAAATGAAACCAGGGGGTTGCAATCAGTAAAATTTAAATGTAGAAAACTTTACAGGACAAACAACCCCGTTTCTTCAACGAAGAAATTATAAGGGAAGGAAGAAAAACAGAAGTGAGAATTATGTATTAAAAGAGACTTAACAGATATATCAACCAAACACAATTATGTACCTTAGTTGGATTGAACAAACCAAATGTAAAGACATATGACACAATCAGGGACATCTGAACACTGATTGGATTTTGATGATAATATAAAATTGTCCATTTTGGGGGTAGGATAATGGTATTGCAGTTAAGTTTATTAAAAGAGTACTTATCTTTTAGAAATACATATGGGAATATTTATAGATGAAAATATATTATGCCTGGTATTTCCTCTAAAATAATCTAGGAAGGGAGGAGAAGGTGTGGCTTAGAGATGAAAGGAGACTGGCTGTGAGCTGATACTTGTTGAAGCAGGGTGGTCAGAACATGGGGGTTCATTATGCTATTCCCTCTTTTTTTATCCAAAAGTTTTCATCATAAAAAGTTAAAAAATAGAGTATTGTCTGAAGTCTGAAAGGTTATACACAAAAATGTGTGAAATCAATGTGTTATTATGTTCACACATTTATACTTTCTTATTTTTCTTAAGGAGCTGTGGTGACATAAACAGTTAAGGGCTCAGCTGCTAACCAAAAGTTTGGCAGTTCCAACCCACCCAGCTGCTCTGCAGGAGAAAGACCTGGCAATGTGCTCTTTCAGTCTGTTGTGTCAAAAGATGCCACAAAAAGCCAGTCACTTGTGGGCCAGATGCGAGCTCCTCCCTCCGGAGAAGGCGCTGCTTTGTCCCCTCAGCCCCTGCATGTGGGGTGAACTGGGAGAGGTTGGGGGGAGGGAGGTAAAAGAAAGGACATGCACTGTGGGCCAGGCTCCATGCTGGGCACAGTCCCTACCACTCCTCACGCAACCTTGTGAAGAAGCGATTGTTGTTCCTCCTTAACAGGTGGAGAAACTGAGGCTCAAGGAAATCAGTGGAGTTGTTCAAGGGGACAAGGGAAGGAGTCAATGTGTGCTGACTCCTGTTCTGTCCTGGGTGTTTCCCTTCTCACCCAATCCCCACAGCCAAGCCTGTGGGTGAGTACCCTTCTCCTCAATTTACAGAGAAAACAGCCTCAGAGAGGTGAAGCTACTTACCTGAGGTTACTCTGAACACCAGGCCCCTCCCCTGGGTCAGGGTGGCCTTGACCCTTTCCCTCAATGCCGACTCCCTCAGGTCACTGTGCCCTCAAGTGACCTGAGGGCTTCCATCTTAGTTCAGGGCACTGACTGGGTGACTCAACGTCCCCTGGCTCCAGGCTGATGGGGGAACAGCCTGGAAGAGGCAAGGGCCAACAAAAGGGCAGGAGCTGGGTGCTTGGTGAGGGCTCTGCCTTGCCACCACTTGAGACATGAGCCTTCTTCTCATCTGGACACCTGGCCTGAGCCAAAGCTGCTCTCTGGCTGAGGGGACTGCACGCGACAGTGGATGAATGGGAACGTGGCTTGTAAACTGTGGAGTGCTGTACAGTGTGCAGGGTCTTGGAGTGGTGCAGCGAACATCTGTGTCCACTCCCAAGGGATTGAGTTGCAGCCCCGCACCTTACCAGCCCCAGTAAACCACTTAATATGACTCGCCCCCTAGGGGTTTCACTTGTGATTCAGCAGCACTAAAGTCGGAGGGGGCATGCGAAGGGTGAAGGGGACAGTGCAAAGTAAGGAATATCGTAGCCATTGGTGTAGCTAGAGGGCAGCTCCTTCTTGTACCCCTACCCTCACCCAGGGCAGCCTAGGCCCTCAGTAAAGCTCTCTGGAGGCCTGGAGGCTGTCTTCCTCACTCAGACTTCAGAAACCATGCAGTCCACCTCGAAGGTGAAGCAGTGACCTTTCTCCTGGGGCAACCTGCCTGGTCCCTGATAGCTGGGTCACCTGCCTGAGCACAGCTACCTAGCATGCCCTATCACACCAGGCCTTGGTGCCTCTGCTGGGCGTGGTCTGGAGGGAGGGGGGCCCACCCTCACCCCACGCTACCCTCACCCCACCCTCAACCTGCACGCGTGGCCTCCTACTTCCCACCATCTCTCCCTCGCCGTCTCCTCTCCTTGCCAGCTCTGGGCCTGGCATCCAGTTAGTTTCCCCACTCTCTCTATCCCTTTCTGTCTCTCTCAAATCTATATTTTTGTGTCCATGTCATCCTCTCTCTCTCTCTCCCTTTTTTCTCTTGCCCTTTAGTTCCTATTTTTCTTCTTTTCTGGCTCCTTTGTCTCTCAAACGCCTTTTTCTTTCCAACCAGTCCATCTGTTTATCTCCATAGTCCCTTTCTGTCTTAGCCTCTCCTTTTGTCTCTTCATTCTTCCCTCTCTCTTTTCTCTCTCTGTCTCCATTCCTCTGTTTTTGTCTCTCTGTGTCTGTTCCTGTCTTTATCTCTGTCCCTCTCCCGGTCTCTCTCTCTGTCTGTCTCCGTATATCTCTCTGCCTCTTTCCCTCTCCATCTCTCTCTCCGTCTCCATCTCGCTCTGTTGCCAGTTCTCACTCCTTCTCTCCCTCCCTCCATCTCTCTATCTTGCTCATCCCCGCCTCTCCCTTCGCAGGTCGCCGGCCCGGGCCCCACTCACCCGCGAAGGCGCCCGCGGCGCGGAGCAGGGCAATCCAGGCCAGCGCGCAGAGCAGGGGCCGCATGGTGCAGGTTGGCCGAGCGCGGCGCCGCGTCTGCCCGCGGCCGCCTCCCAGGGATCCCGCCGGCAGGCCCGGGAGGAAATGCGCGCGCGGTTCAAGCCAAAATTCCTGGGCGGCTCCGGGCTTTCTGGCTCCAGCGAATCCGCCCCCTCCAGAGGCCCAGGCACACCCCGCGCGCAGCGCGGAACCTAGACACCCCTCGAGCAGAGAGGCCAATGTGCCCGCCTAGGAAAAGGGCCGCCCCCTGAATCTCCCGCGCCTCCCAGGGGCCCCGCACGGAAGCAAGGGTGAGGGGATGAGCTCGAGCCGACAGCTCCTGGGGCCTAGGTATTGGTTATGAACCCATTTCACAGACAGATAGACTGAAGCTTAGAATGAAGTGCCTGTGTCAGTGTCACCCGCAGGTGTGGCACAGCACGGATTTGAACCCCTGACTGCTAGGAGTGGGGAAGGTTTTCTCTGCCCACCCACTAACGTCTAATTCACTCTAATTACGTCAGACAGTGTCTGGTCCTGAGAGGGAGACCAGACGTGATGTCTGCTCCATAAAAACTCACTGTTCTGGTAAAGGGTAACAGATTAAAGGGCTATTCTGGTAAAGGGCTAAAAGATTTTTTTTTTTTTTTTAAAAAAAAGGTAAAATTATGATCCATACAGATATAAAATGAGTATACGCTAGCTAAAGACTTTACTTAACTCATTTGTGAGGGAACCGGTAAGCTGTTAAAACCAGTCCAAAAAAACCAAAAACCAAACCTGTTGCCGTCGAGTGAATTCCAGCTCATAGCAACCCTATAAGGCAGCGTAGAACTGCTCCATAGGGTTTCCAAGGAGCACCTGGTGGATTCGAACTGACAACCTTTTGTTTATCAGCCCAACCTTTAACTACTAGGACACCAGGGTTTCCCAAGGAGACTCTAAAGAGCAGACACATTTCTAGATCGGCAATATTGACATGAATGTGCAAATGGAGCCAAAACTGGCCTCTTCCAGCGGATGGGAGGGAAGTCCATGGAACCTCTAAGGGGTAGAATTCATATGGCCACAGACAAGGATTATTTTGCTTTGCATAGAGAGTCTCTGGGTGGTACAATTGATTAACATGCTCAGCTGCTAACTGAAAGGCTGGAGGTTTGACTCCACCCAGAGGTGTCTTGGAAAAAAGACCTGGTGATCTACTTCTGAAAACTAGCCACTGAAAACTCTATGGAGCACAGTTCTACTCTGACATACCTGAGTCAGAATTGACAAGACGGCAATTGGTTTTGTTTAGAGTAGCTTAAAAGCAAGGAAAGGCACAGAGCCCCCATAGAAACAGAATTGTAACTGGACTGTTCCAGGTCCGCTCTGTGCGGCCATAGAGACATGAAATGGGTGAAAGTGAAAAGAGAAGCTTTATTTGGTTGGCCAAGCAAACGAGGTCACTGGAACTTGTGTCGTCAAGATGGCTCCCAGAACAATAGCCCAAGGGGTTTATATGGGTGAAGTAAATCGGGTCTGTGGTCTTCAGGAACACCTTGAGGTGGGGGTAGCTTGCTGATTGGTCTGGCCCGAAAAGGTGTTCCCAGGGCAGTCCAGCCTTTCTGTGATTGCTCAGTCTAAAAAGGCAGGGGGCAGGGGGAGGAGGTGTCTCTCAAATCGGATCTTTGCCTCAGACCCCTTGCTTCTGAAAGCCTTCCCCCAATCTTGGGCCACTAAAGTTTGGTTCCGTCAGATGGGAGAAGAGTTCCAGGGTCACCCAGAGAACGAGATCGAGGTGGATGGTTCTGCACATGTCAGGCAGGCCAGATCTAGTTCTTGCCAGTTGCAGCTGGTCCTGTGACCCTAGTCTCTTATTTTCCTCAACTTGGCCAGAAACAGGAAGCATAGCTGGATAAGGAGATAGCTTAAAGACAGGGAGTTAGTTCCTACATCACAGAAGATAGCAGGCACAGCCCTTTGCCTATTCAAGATGGTGGGCAGGCTGCCGGTCTCAGAATGTTTAGCAAATGCTAAAGCCTGTACTCTATAGCTTTAGATTGACTTTGAGGGAGAAAACAGAAAGCATTCACACATTCACATCTTGTCTCTGCCCTCAGGAGTTCATGGTCTAGTAAGGGCCAGAACAGTAAGAAACAGCGGCTAAGCTTTGATTGACTCCCACATACTCCACTTTTGGTGATCTTCACTGCAACCCTGTGAGAGGCACATCAGTGTATCCGTTCTGCCGATCAAGAGATCGAGGTTCAGAGAGGTTAAGAACATTTCCTGCAGTCACATAGCTGGTATAAAGTGGAGCCAGGATTTGAATCCAGTTCTGCTGCCTCTGCAGCCCGCCCTTAGATAATAATTGTCCCCGAACTCCTCAGAGCTCAGTTGTCTTTCTCCATTCTAAGCAAGCCCAGAGTTAAGAGTTGGGTGGGTTTTTCAGGGAGCTTCAGATTCTGCCTCTGCCAGTTTAGAACACAATAATCCAACCCTCACCCTCAGGCTACACCCACTAAACAAGTTCCGGGGGGTGGGGTTGGGGGGAGATTAGATTTTAGTGAACACCAAAACGAAAAGCTGCAGCCCTAACATCGGCTGCAGAGACTGAGTGCCTCGCCTGGCTGCAAATGGAGCTCCTTCATCACCAAGCCTGGGAGAACCTCTTTATCCGTCAAGCGTCCCCACTGCAGATCATAGCTGCCTTTCTGCCTCCTGTGTTCCCAGCTGTGGCTGTGCAATTATCCACTCCTGGCCCCATCCTAGCCAGTACTTCTCCAGAGCAAGATAGTAGCCTCAGGCACAGAGATTCCAGTTTTGAGTCAGTGGATCTGAGACAAAGCTTGGGGCCTTTTTTTTTTTTTTAATCTAAATTTTTTAAATGCCTTCATGGGAATTAGAATGCATAGTGGAGATGGCTCAGAAGGATTTATTTCTGAGATGCCAAGAATTTCTCTCACATTTCTCCATAGTGTAGCCAGGTGGCAAGTTGTCAAAGAACAGCCATACCCGCTGGGATTCTTGTGTCTCAGAACGAGTGGGCTACCTAATTTTTTGAACTTAAGATTTTTTTTTTTTAAGTATACAGTACTTTCTTATTATGGAAGAGTCACAAAGTTATAAAGTAAACAGAGTAAAACATGAAACTCCTCCCTGCCACTAACTCCCCTGCCCCAAAACTCTAGTCCAGCCCCCTCAGCAGTCCAGCCCCCTCAGCTTGGAAGAGTCTTCTGGTTCTTTGTCTATCTAGTCCTCGTTTATCTGATAGAGAGATAGATGATATAATATAGCTATTTCTATAAAAGAGAAAAAAAATATAGATAATTATATGTATCTATTTATCTAATATACCTAGAGACACATGTATACCCACATATGGGATCAAATAATAGATACTGTTTGGGATTTGCTTTCACATTTATGTTCATCTCAGTCATAACATCTAATTTTGAAGATCATTCTATGTTAGTACACATAAATCCACTTCACTCCTTTTAAGGGATGCAAAATATTCCATGAATGTTACACCATCGTTTATCTAGACAATCCCCTACTGATGGACATGTAGGTTGCTTCCTCTTCCCCCTAATATAAAGTGTGAAATAAACATCCTTTTGCATATATCTTTATGTACACATTACATATTCATGCAGTTCTGAAAGTCTAGATTCCTGCAAGTGGAACCATTGAGTCACAGGGTCTTTTATATTTTGCTGGACAAGCCAAAAAAACTCCCCCAAACTCTCACTAACCCCATAGGATGGGCAAGGCAGTGCAACTCTAGGAGGCACCCAGTTATATGGCAGTCTATGTTGGCGTTGTGCTCCAGAGGGTGCGATTTACGTAAACTTCTTTGGGAACGGAGGGACCTGAATTTGCAGAACAAGCTACCAGGTACATTCTCCAACACTGGGTATTGATCTTTTAAGATTTTCACAGTCTGATGATGGAATATGTTACCTTGTTATTTCTATTTACACGCTATTTATTAGGAGTGAAATGAGGTTGCACTTCATTTGCCTATTCAAGTACTTTGATCATTTTCCCCCTTTTCTTGACATATTCTGATTATTAATCTTTCGCCTGTTATACATGTTGGTAATGTTTTCTCCCAGTCTTCCACTGTCTTTAACTTTCTTTGTGGTGTCTTTCATCATACAGAATTTTTAGCTATTTAGGTATCCAAATCTCTCAATATTTTCTTTTATGGCTTCTAGGTTTTATAACTTGATATCCCACGTTAATATCATAAAAATAGTTTACAATGTTTGCCTCAAACAGTTTTAAAGTTTTTAAAAGGTATAATCTCTATCTAGAATTTTAATGTGATTATGAGGAAGGATTCAAACTTAAAATTGTTTCCCATCTGGACATCTAAATATCCCATGCTCTGTATTGCATAGTCTATTCTTTAGCCATGGATTTAAACACAGATTATTGGCTCACTGTTCATTCCCAGTAGCCCTGGTGGCACAGTGGTTAAGAGCTCAGTTGCTAACCAAAAGGTCAGCAGTTTGAATCCACCAGCCACTCCTTGGAAATGCTGTGGGGCAGTTCTATTCTGTCCTATAGGGTCATTATGAGTTGGAATCAACTCGATGGCAATGGGGTTGGTTTTTTTTTTTGGATTCATTCCCAAATGGAATTCTGGAAAAATCCTCAGCCATCATGTCTGTCACAAAGTCAAATAAACAAAAACTAAAATAGCCTCATTATTTCAACAAATACTGAAAACTATTGTTGTTGTTAGCTGCCAGCGAGTTGGTTCCCACTCATAGTGACCTCATGTATAACAGAACAAAACTATTATTTGATGAAATTAAACAGTCATCTCTGATTTTAAAAACAAAACCAAAAACAACTCAGAGCTAGAAAAGGAAATCAAGGGATATTTCCTTAACAAGATGTCTAATTTTATCTCAAACAAGTAGTTCACAAATACACATACAGGAGAAAGGAGAGAGGCATTCCTTAAACGAGAGATGCCACCACCATCCCCACTATTAATTATCCATTGTCTGGTCAATGCAATGAAACACAAATCAGAAGAGGAGTTATGGTGGAGAGAAAATACTGCTATTGTTAGAAGAGTCGATTGACTTCTTAGAAAATTTG